ATAAAAGAAAGCATCAAACAATGCGGTAAGTAATTTAACAGCAGAAGGAAGCAAGGATTAAAAGAAAGTACCAAATGATGGGGAAGGGATGGGCGGGCGGTGGAACTTGACAGAAACGAAGATGATAAGAGATTTCTTTGATGAAATCCAAGGCTTTTTCAGATTATATATATATATATGCTCTGTTTAATCGTTTTCTGACCACTTGCCACCGCCCTAATTAAGTATTCTACCATTAATGCGTTTCCTTTTTCCTATTTATTTCGGATTACATCAACCGATTTTTCTGCATTTGAGTACTAAGATATAGGGATGAACAACAAATATTTAGGGGGTAGACGACCCTAACCAAATTTCCTTCGTTTATAATGACACACGTTTTAGGGTTGCTTCACAATTTTATTTTTACTTAACAATTTTCTTCAACCATTTAACAGAATAATTTTGGTAGTTAGTATTTGTAGTATGTATCTATATCTATATTATTTATAATGATTTTAATAACCAAATATCAATTCAGTTAAAAAATAATAAATAAATATTTTTTTTTATAAATAATAATAATATTTTATATAATTTTTGAACAAAGTAATTAAAAATCAAACAATTAATGATTAAATAATGGTTGATTTAAGTAGTAAATAATTTGATATCACTGAAGTAATATTTCGAGTTCAAGTCTTTGTGTATGTAAAATATCATTGTTGGGAAACTCACCTACAGAGACAGGTGTACAATGCGGATCGATCCGGATTTATCAAAATAAAACCTTAAAACGGGGGGAGAAAAATGATTAAATTAGTATTTAATAATATTCAATCATGGTTTTTATGATGGCATAACTGGTCAATCCTTTCTCACGTAAAACTTTTTCTCGATATTAAATTATCATTTAAAAGTTTAGTCTAATCTTTAAATTTTCTTTTTGAAATATTAACAATTATTTTTTATTGGTTAAACCAAAAGTGATTCTAAAGTATTATTAATTTTAAGTACTCTCAATCATTTAATAATGGCCACACTCAACCACTCTTACAGTTTTTTGTACTCTCTAAGAATATTAACGATTCTTTTAACAATTAAGGTAAATTAGTTTATGCACAGTTGTTATTTTTGTTAGATAGAATAAAAACATAACAAAATTATAATGGAATAAAGAACATTAGTCGATTGCGTCCCTTAAATATATTAAAATGCATAAATTAATTGCAAAAGAATAAAATAAGATTATATAAAAATAATTGAATTTTTAATAAAAATTTTTGAAAAAAATAATGTATAAATAAATATCATTATCTACAGTGAAAGATAAACATAACCAATATTAACGTATAACATATAACAATGGTAACATGTTGCTAATATGACTTTATATAACTCGATCGCGGCCTACTTTGATGATTACGAGTGACTATTAATAAAAGAAAATTAACTCAAAAGACCAAAGCAATGGTAGATTAATAAAAATAACTAAATAAGTGTTAACTAAAAAGCAATACTAAATTAAACCTTAAAAAAATGAAGACATATAAAATAAAATATAAAGAAAAAGTTATAAAATCATCTACTATTAGTATAAAAAATTAATTAAAAATAATATAACTCATATAAAAACTATGAAAAAAATAAGCGAAACATGATATTTGATAAAATATACAAATGTTAAAGTATGTAAATTTTTTAAACATATAAATAATTTATGAATTATATAAATATAACTTTATAAAATATTCAACCTATATAAATTATAAAATATAAGATAATAAATAAAATAAAATTAATTGATTAGTAAATCGGATGATTAAGAAGAAAAAAACTGCTAGTTGATGTCTGATATATATTAAGTGGCAGTGGCGGCGTAGGGGTTAGGGAGGTGAATGAATTCTCTATCTTAAAATACTAGCTCAGTAGTATAAGTTTGACGTCCCACACTAAACCTTTGGCGGGAACTGGGAAAAGGAAGATAAAAATTAAGAAAACAGAGGGTGGAAACCCTAAATCTAATACCTGCAGGCACCAAATCCAAAATTGAGAGATGGGGAAGGATGAGGAGGAGATGCGTGGCGAGATCGAGGAGAGGCTGACAAATGAAGAGTACAAAATTTGGAAAAAGAACACTTCTTTCCTCTACGATCTTGTCATTACCCACGCACTCGAGTGGCCCTCTCTCACCGTCGAATGGCTCCCCGACCGCGACGAGCCACCTGGAAAGGATTACTCCGTTCAGAAGATGATCTTGGGCACCCACACCTCCGAAAACGAGCCCAATTACCTCATGTTGGCTCAGGTCCAGCTTCCCCTCCAGGATTCCGAGAACGATGCTCGCCAATACGACCACGACCGCTCTGACCTCGGCGGTTTCGGATGCACCAGCGGCAAGGTCCAGATTATTCAGCAGATTAATCACGAAGGGGAGGTCAATAGGGCTCGTTATATGCCTCAGAATCCTTTCATTATAGCCACTAAGACGGTCAGTGCCGAGGTTTTTGTGTTCGATTACAGTAAACATCCTTCGAAGCCGCCTTTGGTTGGGGCTTGCAGTCCCGATTTGAGACTTATGGGCCATAGCACGGAGGGATATGGGCTATCTTGGAGTAAGTTCAAGCAAGGCCATTTGCTTAGTGGTTCAGATGATGCTCAGATTTGTTTATGGGATATCAATGCCACTCCCAAGAACAAGGCTCTTGATGCTATGCAGATCTTCAAGGTCCACGAGGGTGTCGTTGAAGATGTTGCTTGGCATCTCAGGCACGAGTACTTGTTTGGTTCCGTTGGGGATGACCAATACTTGCTTATTTGGGACCTGCGAACCCCATCTGTCACCAAGCCTATCCAGTCCGTAGTTGCTCACCAGAGTGAGGTGCCTATTAATCAATTTCCCATTCCCTTTTTATTTTCTGTATGTAATTTGTGTATACATGAAAGAAAAATCCAAGCTTCTCTGATAAACAATTGTGACCTTGCTGATTTCTTTTCTTTCCCTTTTAATTAGGCTGAATAGTAGTTAGGATTTAGAGAAGGAAATCACTCAATAAAGAGGTACAAAGTGACCAAAATAACATATGGACTCGGCAAAAATATTTTTTCTTGTTTCATTTATCTTTCCTTGTTTGCTACCATTTGGCTCTGCCTTTGACTTCTGTGCTAAATATTTAGACATGAAATTCTGATGAATAGAGTAGAACTTTGGTTTATATATGCTCTGATCGGAAATGCTAGCAAGCTGATAAGTTCAACACTGAAGTGAAGTTTGTCCCACTTTGTTGTTTGATGTTGCTATTTTCATGTTACCAGGTCAACTGCTTAGCTTTCAATCCATTTAATGAGTGGGTTGTGGCAACGGGTTCTACTGATAAGACAGTTAAGTTATTTGATCTTCGCAAGATCAGTACTGCACTCCACACCTTTGATAGCCACAAGTAAGAATATTCCTATTTTTATTTTTCCATAAATAATGCGATTATTATTATGTTTTAAAACTAGATGCCCAATTGTTAGTCAAGAATTCTTGAATGTCAGTTAATATATATATATATAGGGTTCATTGTCTTCTATGAGATTACTATTTGTGGAATTCTTGAAGATGTTTTAATAGCTAGTCATGAAGTTATACTTTGTAATGATGTGCAACAGGGAAGAAGTTTTCCAAGTTGGGTGGAATCCAAAGAATGAAACAACCTTTGCATCCTGTTGTCTTGGTAGAAGGCTCATGGTTTGGGATCTTAGCAGGTGAGTAACTCATTGCCAAATGGTGTTGGGTTTTCTTGAGTGAATCTAAGTTTCAAAGAAAAGAGATAAAAAAAAGAGAGGATTTGAGTTGCAATGATGTTAACTTTTTTTTTTTGCACGGAAAATTGACTGGGTCACCTAGCTAATAATTTATTTTGATGCAACCACATCTTTTGACCTCATAGGCATTGATACTGTTGTTGGTCATTTGAATTTTGTTATGCAGGATTGATGAAGAACAGACACCAGAGGATGCCGAAGATGGTCCACCCGAGTTGCTCTTCATTCATGGGGGTCACACTAGTAAAATATCTGATTTTTCATGGAACCCGTGCGAAGATTGGGTTATTGCTAGTGTAGCTGAAGATAACATCCTTCAAATATGGCAGATGGCAGAGAATGTTTACCACGATGAGGACGATGTACCGGGAGATGAATCAGCCAAATGTTCTTAAATGTTTTTTTCTCGCCAGCTTGGGGGGGAACCGACTAGATTGACAAATTTAGGAGAGTAAATTTAACTTGCCTTCATATGTTTTACAGCCGTGTTTTTTAACTCCTGGTGAATTTTCTTTTTGATCCCATGTGCTCAACTGTAACTGATATTAAATACATGAATTGCATTTCACTATTTATGAGCATTAGTATCTTCTTCCTGTCTCTAAATTTTCGTTGATATAATTAAAGTTAAAATCAAGTTTAATATTATTTTAATTGAATAAATAAACAATCTAAAATTTAGTGATATATGACGTTGACTTACCCTTTTTTTAATTGAATAAATACATCATGAAATAATTCGTCCTATTGTTATTGTTAGAGGTGGGTTATGAAAAAAATTATCTTTCCTAATGATGTTTTTAATCTCTTTTCGCATATGTTTACCGTATGGGTAATAAAGTTGTGCACAATTTAGCGCACTAGGCTTTGTCTTGTAGTAGTCCGTTTCAATTTGAATTAGAACATCTGCTTGTATTGAGATATATGTATTTAATGATGCAATTTACAGTTAAATGAATGAAAAGTGATGTTGGATCCAAATGGGCCCATCCACTGAGAAGAGTCAATTTTCGCAAACCTAAAATCCCACAATTATGTAGTTGGAGTTGGAGGGAAATACTTAAGCTACGACCTCTTGTTTGGAATCCCGTATAAATAGACAGTTGAGCAAATATCATGTATGAATTTCTGGTGTTTAGCAGCTCTGCCAGTATTTAAATGCCAGAAAGCAGGCAAGGCAACTTAGTTTATGCAAAGAATATCGTGTAACCAACAACTGGAAACTTTCAGATTTATTGTGCTCATCAGAAATACCATAATAAGAATATAAATGAACTTCATCATCTCATCTCATGTAATTATAAACCAAATACCATGTGATACAAAAAACATTCCAAGTTATTAGAATACAGTAATGTGCAGCACACTGTAACATATAACCTGCACCAAACAAAATTATATAAGTGGCAAAAACAGTGCTTGATAAACAACTTAAATGTAAAACTGTATAATTTACAGATAAAATTATCACCTCAAATGAATATGCTAATTTATCACTGATAGAATTGCAAAGCATGCCTAGGCAGTGACCTGCATATGCAATGTGTATCAATCATGAGCGGAACATGCAAAGGAAGATATATGTTAACTGATGATCAAACAATTCTTTGGTGCCTGAAAAGTGTATAGAGTAAAATCTAGTTGGCTCGAGATTAATGAAGTTAGGCTGATTAAATTACTCATCTGGGGTACATTCATTTAATAATGTATCCAACTACCTATCAGTACTTCAAAGAAAATATGAAGTACATCATACAACCGTGATTGGATCGGACATTTTATGTTATTGTATTTCAAATGCAGTACTATCTACATTCTTACTTTTGTATTCCGGAAAAGAAAGGGTAAATCCATGACTCTTTACCTTTTCAGCTTTTGGGGTGAAGATGACTTTAACCACCTCAAACACCTCTCCAATGGGCTTTGCAGCATCAATCTAAATGTCGAAGCAACAACACTTGAGTTGAGGTAACCATGCCAATCATCTAGTACATAACCGAATGATTCTGACAGATTATTACCTCTTGGACTTTCCCCTTTGCCTTATAGTACTCAATTACAGGAAGGCTGGACTTAAGAAACACCTTGAATCGCTTCCTTATTGTTTCAATATTATCATCTTCTCTTCCCTTCATTATGGAGATAAGGACAAATAGTTTAAACAACATAAAATGGCACGAGGCAAAATGAGACAAAGAAATCTTCTAATGTAAATCATACGGATAAACCTATAGAATGAGAGACAGAAACAGTGCAAAAATTGAATAACCTGGTTTCTACACAGAAGACGCCTCTCCATTTCTTCTTCAGGGCAATTGAAAAACAGTACAAATTCAGGCTCAATTTTTGTCTGCGGAACCAACAAATGTTAGCCATGTTAAATACCTAAATACTGAGAAGACTAGGAAGAACAGGCCCAAGGGCATGTAAACTAAAAGAATAATTATTGGAACCGAGAATGCTAGACTTACAACAGCTTCAAATGCTGCACGATTTTCCTCATTACGAGGAAAACCATCAATAAGGAACTTGTCATTACCACTTTCCAGCATTGCTTTTTGGAGAAGCTTAATTGTGACCTCAGAAGGAACAATCTTTCCTTCTTTGATCATGTTTTGAATCATGGTTCTGTAGATCACACGAGAGCATGATCATTCAGAGAAAGGTGGCATGTGGAAAATGGTTCAAATGAAGAAATAATACTCAGCATGCTAAAGGGTTCAAATACAAACTGGTCAAAAATAAAACAGATCTACCCCAAAACATAAATATGCAACAAAGGCAAAGTAGAAAACATGCAATTAGAAACCGAAAAGATAGGTTCATATTAGAAAATCATACAAATCTGAAAATAATTTTTTGTCTAATTTCAAGAGCTGAGGATAAAAACCACAACCATGTTCAACAAACACAACCCATGTTTGAAATTGAACAGATCTCTATAGGAACAGCCTACACCAAGCAATAATTCAATCATTAGAAACAAGGTTTTTTTTTTCTTTTCTCAAAGCAATATTTCTAAAATTTTCTCTTTCTAGATTGATGCGGATCCCAGGTTTCAATCAAGTTTAAAGACAAAAAGTAAATGAAATCTCCAGAATCAACCAGAAACCAATGTACGGGTAATCTTTTCAGGCATAATTGTCATACCCATTCTCAGAACCAGACTTAATTTCAGCTCGGAGGAGATCTCCAGCACTGAGATGGGTGTAATGAAAGTGTTCCACTATATTTGCACATTGAGTACCTTTTCCACTGCCAGGGCCACCTGATCAATAAACAAAACAGGAAAAAAATCCTCAATAGCTGTAAGCATTTTCAAACAATATGAAAATGTAAATATAAAACTACCAAAAGACAAAATACAAAGGAAGAAGCCGCTTACCCAAAACAAAAACAACTTTAGGCTTTTTGTCGGCCAAGCTAGTAGTGAAATCCTGAATACATATGTAACAATAAGCTGATTTAGATAGAAAAAAAAATGGAAATGCATGATAAAGGATGTATGAATAACGGAATAAATTCCAACGTCGCCACTACCTTGTTTGTAACATCAACTGCTCCCATTATTGAATGAACTAGCTTAGGTTTGAAGGTCGTTTAAACCTACATAAATCAGAAAGGAAAACGAAGAGTATAAGAAATTAAGAAAGGCAAAGAAGAGATCTGAATAAAAACATGAGGGTATCGAAGAAGGGATCTGCTGTATATCAAGTTGATGCATGGTGGAGGCATAGAAAACATACACAATTGCACATTGGGATCGGATTCCAGTTCCAAATTCCACGTACAAATCGAGAAGATGAAATGAAAAAAAAGGAGAGGCAAAACCTTAAAGAACTGAATTATACGGAGATCAAAATGGCGTCGGATTGGCATTGAAAATGAAAACACAAAGGAAGAACAATTAGATCAGATCAGATCCAATGAGAAGATAGGATTAATTTGCAAGATACGTGAGAAATTTACCTGAATTGTTATTTTTTTTATTGAAAAGGGACGAGGGAATGGAGCTGCGGAGGTAATTGAATTTGGAGGTGCGTCTGCCTTCGATATGGGATGAATATTCAAATGATTTAAGGACGCGTATGGTTCACAGAATAAAAGATTATCAGAGAATAAGATTATTAAGAATGTTGTATTTCGTGTTTAATTGGTTTAACATGAAATTTGGTTAAAAGAATAAAAGATTATTAGAATATATATTTGATCAAATTATCCTTCTTATATATTTATTTTTTTAACAAGTTGAAAAATATTTATATATTCTCTTTATATTTATAAAATTTATATAAATTTTATAAAATTAAAAATATAAAAAAATTAATAAAATAGTAAAATTTTATTTTAACATTTGAACTTTATATAAAATTTTAATTATAGATTTTTTTGTAAATCTAAAATAGTTTAAGGAAATTTTTTTAATTTAACATTTGTATAATTTTTATTATTTAATGATAGAATAAATATTTTTAAAAAAATTAAGGGTATTTTAGTATAAAACGCTGGTAATCTAATAATACCTAAGGAAAGAGAGGTAATTACATTTCCGGTAATATATCCAAAAAAATCCAATATTAATAATGTAAGATTACCGGAAATGACATTTCAGACCAACCAAACAGAGGAATGTAGATTCTATTTTCATGAAAATCTCACATTCCCTCAATCAATCACACCGTAAATACTTTCTGCTTTCCTTTGGATCTAGATCTGCCAAAACTGCCTACCTTCAAAATTGCACCTTATGCTACGACTATGAATAATTGCATATGACCCCGTTTAATCAATTAACATTTCCCTTCTTTCAAATAAATTTTATTTTTTAAAAATTATTAGATTATGGATTGCTATTAAAAATTTGAAAGATAAGTAATTTTTTAAAACAAAATCTAAATTATTCAATTAAATCTTTAAGCTAATTCTATTATTTGAGATTTAGTCACATAATTGATTTAATGTTGAATTGATTTGTGATAATAAATCACCCAATATTGTTATATATAATATCAATAAAACAAATTATATTATTTATATTTATATTTAATTAATTAAAAATTACTAACATGAGTTTAATATTCGTTACGTTTAAATTATAGTTTTTTAATGGAATATTTGTAACATCAAAATGATTTTTTTTAGTTTTACGGCGGGAAATAAAGATAGAGGAAAATACTTTGAATAAAATTATTACTACAAAGATCGGATTGTGAAAATAAAACTATATAAATATATTTAATATTTTTCTCTTATTTCATCCTCCTAAAATGACAGAAAAAGTGTCTCGCATCAAATATTAAAAAAATAATGAAATCGCAGGCACCCCCGCCGACTTGCATTTATTTTCCTTCCGCTTTTAGAATATCTTTATTATTTTATTTTTGGTAAATAATCTATTATTAAATGTCAATATTCTGACTAAATTATTAAATAATATCAAAAAATATTTTGTTATCAAAATGGTAAAAAAATTATTTGCTACAATGACACCCCCTTACAGTTGCATAATGTGTCTATATGATAACGTTTTGTTTTTCGAAAAAAATTTCTTCAAGCACTTTTACTTGCATGGCAAGTTATATAATTTTGTTTTCTAACATTGATGTCTTACATGATCAAACTAAAAACAAATAAAATTATTAACTCAAAAGCTATATAAATTAGTGACAAAACATGTTTGAAAAATAATTAATAATTAATTTATTTTTTAAATTTTATATAAAATAGAAATTTAATATTTTTAAAAAAAAATCTAAAAATTTACCTAAAATTTATAACAACCTATTACCCTACCTCCCCTTACCTCATTACATATGAGAATAGAATTTTATTGTTGTTTTAACAAAAAGGGGATTCCTTGAGAAAAACGCCTTTTAAAATGCACTGCCAACTTCATCTTACGTTACAAAAATAAGTGTCATTTCAAAAAATAAAAACTTTAGGTGTCAATTTTAATAATTAAATATTTTTTGAATATTATTTTAATAATTTTGCACAATATTCTGAAATGCCTACCTTTATTTCATTCTAATTGACGTAGGAATTACGAACTCTATTGTTTTCAAAATATGAAAAAAAACATAATTTTCCCTTTCCTTAACACCGAAGGAAACAAATATATATAACTTAGATTGATGCAAAGAGAATTTTGATCAAATAAACCTATCAAAATGAGATAGTTACAACTCAATAACACAATTACACATATGGCACAACCCTACAACAGTAAAAATGGGATCTAACAAAGAATCTTATGCTGTCAAACGATTAACATAATCCAATTCTGCATTACTTACTAGTATCATATCGGTTCAAACGAGTTGAGGAAGATTCATATCCGGACATGATATCATCGAGTCCACGATACAGAATCGATCTCGTCCCTTGCAGCCTTGTACAGTTCAAGCCTTTTAGCACACTGTTGTCTCCTCTCCATCAATTCTGGATCCTCATCTAACATTTGTGACAGCTGCTTCGCCTGAAACACCCCATTAACCCATGTCACCTTAATACTGACTAAAATGCTCATATATAGTGATTGCTAATGACATTTTACCTCTTTCTTTCCTAGCTGCGTGTAAAACCGGCTTAGCAATGATTGTTTTGCCTCTCTAACTTGACAGTAAACCACAGCCTTCGGGATTGTGTTCTTAAGTGTATCCGACACCATACTGATATATGAGGAAACGTTTGACCCTATCCTCCGAAAATGGCCCTCGCCATACCGGTCCGTAGCTGCAGTAGCTTGAGGGTTTCCTCCGGGATTTCCTGCTACATCTACTTCTTGGGGAAGCTTCCGGAAGAACTCTACTGTTAAATACGATGATTCCATATCTACTATCCGGACGGCTGTCTTCTTACCATCATCTCGAAACCTCTCCAAGGCCTCGTTAGCAGCTGCTGCTATATCAGCTTGCAGTGTGGGAAAGCGTTTCAATTCCTGTTAATAGAAAACATCAATAAACACTCTTCTTTGGTACACCAGACAAATTTAAAGTACATAAGATTAATTTTCTCAAATTTTAACCTGAGTTTCTGCTATAGATTTTCTCACAAGTTCCTTCAAGACAAAGTGAACCTACATAAAAAAGGTAGATCAGCTAAAAATAATGTCAAAAAATCAGAAAAAACAGCTTGGACTACTTGACAAATTCAAAAGAAATCTAGAATGATTATTGAAATAATAAATGAAGGATAACAACTTACAGCATCCACAGAAGCTTCAGCTGGGCCCCTGAAGTAACTTAATGCCCCATCAATAAGCCTGCGGTAACCTTGCTCAGGTGCTATCAAGTGTGGTTGATAACCATCTGCCTCGGACACTACTCTCTTTATATTTTGGATAGAAAGATGGCGGTCAAAGGGAAGCTTCCTCAAAGCAGCAGGTAGCTGGTTGTCAAAGACTCCATAAATACGATCACCTCCAGGTCGCCTGATATATCAATGTCTAAAGGAGTTATTACACCATGTAATTATCACTGTCATAGCCCGAGACAAAATTGGAAAGTGCAGATAACTCTAAAATTGGAAGTACTTTCAAGGTTGAATGGTTTTTATGATCAGACTAATAACCATGATAGAGAGTGGAAAAAATCCAAAGTTATGAAAATGCTTTACCCTCCATCTAGATGCTCCTTGAATATCCGTTCAAAGGCACGGCAAACTTCCAATACAGTGTATAGTTGAGCCTAATATACAACATCAAAATTATACACAGAACATGAAGTAACTTATACAGAAGTAGGAAAGGTATGCTACTCACCCCAGCATCAAGAGCAATAGGCCTGCCAAGATGATCCATCTCTGATTCAAGTTCATCAATACTTTTGTTTATCAAAGAAGTGATACTTGGTATCCGAGCTCTAATGACAGATTCCAAATGCTGAATACAAGGCTACATTGTTAGAAATATTCCCTTTAAGATTGCAAAAAGCCATATAATGTAAAATGTACTCAATATCAAACCTGTGACAGAAGTTTTGCAAGATACTCTGAACCCATTTTACTTGCTAAGTGGCCATAGTCTGGACTCGTTGCAAAATATTCACGCTCCTTGCGTCTTGCCACAATCATGTCCACATTTTTGTTTATATCAGCCTGTGAACGGTTCACAATTCCAACCCAAGGATGCAGTAGCCGGTAAGATCTTCCTTCAAGAACCTTAAGAATGGAAAAGGAAATAAAATATGTTAGTAGACCATATCAACAACAATAAAAAAAAAAGAAAAAAAAATGGAGACACTCGGATAAAGTAAATATAGAATTTTATATGAACGAGAAAGAAAGCAAAAACTCACATCCAAAGCATTAGTCCCTTTGTCCATAAGGTCAAGCTTAGTTAACACCCCAAACGTACGATCACCTGGCATAAAAAAGACGCAAATTTCTCAATGGACAAAAAAGGGTATAATATACTTCGCGAAGATTTGCATCTATACTAATGCTATAGTGAAATGATAATTAATACATACCAGAGGAGTCTACCTCCCTGGACAGTTTGATAGCATCAGAAGTTGCTATATCTTGATTAGCTGGAGATATAGCTAGTATGATACAATTTGGCTACAAAAAGCATAATGATGATTCAGAATGCAAGAGAACAGAAATCAGAAGTTTCAGATGAGAAAAGATTGTTTAAGCGTATAAGATAGCAACAAAACAGATCAAAATCCATAATAATAACTACAGCCTTAGTCCAAGGATTGAATTCATTCAAGCAGAAGCTTATATCCAAGTGAAGAGAGACAGGGAAAGGGAAAGGGAAAGGGAAAGGGGTGAAATACTACTTTCTCTTAACGAAGCACAGTTGAAGATGCTTACCTTCTCAACATAAGACCGGACCATGGTTTCGATGTCTTGAACTATACTTTCCGGTTGTCCCTCTAAAAAAGAACAATTGTCCCATTCAATAATTGAACAAAAAAGAAAAACAATGAATATTCAAAAATACACTTACCAACCGCAACTTTTGTTAAGCCCGGCAAA